AATTACTGTTTCAAAACTGAAACTCAATTCTAAAGTTTAATTTCAAAATTAAACTTAAAACTTAGAGCACAGTTTCATTCTCAAACGATGTTTAGAATTAAAAAAAATTATAATTTTAAGCTCTATTTCTGTAACGAGCACTGTTTTTAAAAAAAAAAAAACATAAGCACTAACGAACTTTGTATTATTAATCTAATTGTTCTTTCCTATTACATAAAAATCAGGCAATGGTTGGGTGATTTTTTTTGCATTATATAATTCGTCTAAGCACTATCAAAATTATGAAAAGTCAGTGTTATTTTTTTTAAAAATGTGCACTTATTTATTACCTTGAAAATAAAAGTTGGTTACCATGGTTCATAATTTATACATTTTATATTTAAAATTAATTAAAATTACTATTCTGTCCACAATCTTTCTTCAGTATACCTGTATGTGAGTGTATAACTCATCTTGAAGCAATGATAAGCAGATATTTTATTGACCATTACTACTGCGATGAATTTGATCCTAACTGGGTGCCACATAGTTGGGTCCTTGTGCCAGACAAGGCTAAGCATAGTAAATTATATATACTGTTACTTTAACTAAATCTTGCAAGTGGTCCGGATGCAAAGCAGTGGAGGATTATTTGTTGCACATCATTACCATATATGGGCATGTTCACATCTTTTACACGGGAATCTTTGCTTAAAAAGACAAACTGACCAGGTTAATCAATGAAATTTCTGAAAAGACAATCAGTGACCTTTGTTGCATACATAAATTATACTGACGAGTAATTTTCTCAATACAATTGCCAAAAAACTAAACTTTGACACAAGTCCTCCACACTACCCCCCACCACAAAACTTCAACATTTTAACCAGTCATCCTTGTCATCCCATAAGCCATGGTCATGAAACCTAAAATATACTGAAGTTTTCAACATTTATTTCAAATTGTAATATTTATTGATCTCTACACTGCATTGTTTTAGTCTCTAGACTAGAGGCATCAGCAATTTAACAGTAACTAACTAACACTAACACTCAGTAACAGTTAACTTACACCTACTAATTTTGTGTAAATATTGCAAAAAGCTGTTTGTGAGCATTTTTTTATCGTTGTTAGTTACATGATTGATTTCATATAAAAAAAAAAAAAGGCATTTGAAATTTAATATGTAATTTATCATGGCTTTTAAAAGAGATCAGGTAAAAACTTTCCAATAAACAAAATTTCGCTTATATACCGCTTCTTCTTCATTAACTTCATTTGTTCAATTTCCCTATTTATAAATTATAAATTACTTTCAACAAGAGCACAAAAAGAATCAAATCATCGGGATCAATCTCTAACTAAAATACAAAAAACACAATACAATTTGTTTTTCATGCATTTTCCAATCTTTTCTTCAAATTTCCCTTCCACCTAAAAACCTACCTCCTTTTCTTTCATTTAAGTTTTCTTCTGAAAACCCATATTGATCATAAGATAAACAAAAGCAACTAGGATAGTTTTTTTTATTATTTCATTTTAACAGGCGGCCTTTCAGAAAGATAATCTAAGAAAAAACAATGATTCATTCGGTGATCTTCAACCACACAAGTGTCACAACAATTAATTTAACAGTTAGTTAACTTATATTTTTTAATTTTTAAAATAAATTGTGAAAAAAATTGAAAAACTAACTACGGGCTCAAAGTTGTAGTTTACAATTGAATAGGAAGACATAAAAGTGTTGATTATTTAAAAAATAAATAAATAAATAAATAAAAATAACAAATCCAATACAAAAAAACTTAAGTACATTTTTTTACCATAGTGAACAATATTCTCCTCTCTTTGCCTGTGTGGCACTTGTTGAACTGTTTGTTGTTGTTGCTAAGTACAAAGATTAAAAACTCTAGTAAAAGTCACAACTGACAAAATAATTTATCTATTCAGTTTAAAAAAGTAATTTGTGGGGGAAAATTTACACGATACTAATTATTGGAGTAGAAATTTCTTAAAAAATCGAGTGACTGTTTTTTCGTGTTGGTGACACTTTTTTTAAAAAATACAGCTAGTTTGAGAAAATATCTTCATTCTTACATTCTTCTTTCAATAATCCTTACTTAGGCTGGGCATCTTTTGATCCAAAACAAGTGATATTTTAAAAATTAATTTAGAATTATTATTATTCTTAAAATGAAAATTAGCAACTATTATTAGATGGTAAAAAAGTGCAGCTGTTTCCTCTTTAAAAAAAATGCTACTTTCAATTCTTGAAAATCAAAGACTGCAAAAATTAATATTTCAAATAAAAAATAAATTCAACCCTAATTCAAACAATGAAACGAAATTAATGAATTGGAAATAACGCATACTACACAGTGTTGTGTCGTAATTTTATTTTTATTTATTATTCCTTTTTGTCTGATGAAATTCTTCCGGTTTTGCATAAGTTTGAACTTAACTAAGTCTCGGTGGTCACATGATTATTAAAGAGGAGGAGGAGATTTTATTCCTGTACACATAAATTAAAAATCAATATTTTTAATGGAAATGCACTCCATTCATGAAGTACCAATTTTAAGGAGGAGGAAGACAGCATGAATGGTTCTTTTTTCTGTCTGTCACTATTTGCAGAAGTAATGACCAAGTCTATTGCATAAAAACTAAAAAATCTGCAACTCACGGAAATTACGAAGTTAGTTACGCAACGAAAAAAGAAAAGGCCTTCTTTTAATAACTCCTAAAAAATTAAATTTCATTCTTATATATATAAAAAAAAATGGATAGTAAAATAAGTATGCGTATTATCTCCTTAGCAGCTTTCTTTACTACTTAAAACAAAACATGGTACCACGGTGGTGTGGTGTTGTTTAAGAACAGCGCGCTTAAACAAGCTTTATTTAGGGAGCGGCTTTGAAATTCTGGAGGAAAAAAATGAAAACGACTATTAACAATTCAAGTGATTTATTTGCAAATAATCGACGATGCTTGAATTAAAATACCTCCAAACAAAAGATTCAGTATTGAAGAGAATCAAGTTAAGAAAACACAACGTGTGTACATATGTACTCAGTCAGTACTGTTGTGTTCCTTGTGCCGGTGAGGCTGGGTGGGGCCTTTATCCTTCGTAAAAAATATTTATGGTCACAATGTGTAACTAGAAACAATGTTTTAAAAATGGAAAGTGATCCCAAACATAAAAAGAGTGCTACAATAAAACAATAGTGACCATACATTATCATTGCATCAAAAGCGGTATGTTACTTATTCAACTACTTATTCCATAATAACATAACGATGATGATGGTGTTGTAGAAGACAAAAACATGAGTCCAACAAGCACGAATACAATATAACGCAGATGTCTTTATCGTCAGGCAGGAATGATTCAAGGTTCAACACTAGGAATCTTGCTTTCTTTCTGCAATACTCTCTTTGTCGACCTATTGTGCAATGCCAAAATTTAATAATCCTATTTTTAGGTCAAGCTTAAAAAAAAAATCAGGTAATCAAAACTGAAATACTAGGTTTCCCAGCATCATGTAATTTTACCAAGTGATTGTGTAATACTAGTGAGGATACGCATATGTGTGCATGAGCACTTACTACAAACAACGTGCTGTGAGAAACACATACACACTTAGTCCTCGCAATTCTAATTTAAATAAATTTCATCTCGAAGAACATTTCTAAAATAGCCCTTTACATTGATACTGCTTTACTGTACCAAGAAGACTCTTATGTTTTTTTTTCTTTTTTACAAGGACATTATTGATTGAATGAATGAACTGATCAAAGTACAGTACACTGTCTTGCCTTCTTGAATATAGCAAAAATCACAATTAAAAATTTAGGATTTTATTAATTAAATAAGCTAAGAAGTAGGACTTCACCTATCTATAAGATCGAATTCCATAACTGCACGAGGTTGACTACGACTGAAAAAAATGTCAGAAAGTGATTCCGATAAATATGCCAATAATGGGGAAAACCCATTGACCACGTCATTTAATCGTAGAATAGAAAATTTATGCAGATTTGCTGAAAATCTGACAAGAAAAAGCTTCAAGTTGGTTAAAAAGAAAATTAAACACACACACAAAACGTCTTTATGAGTCAATAAACACCACGCGGAAATTAGGTTATTTTTCCCCTTTTTAAACCGAATCAATAAGCGTAACTGTAAAAATAAAATAAATGTTGTACAGTACACATGTAGATAAAATACATGGAGTAAAAGAAAAGAACATACTGCCATTTTTAGAATAAAATAAAAATAAAATAAAAAAAGGTGCAGATATTCAGAATGTTTTAGTTTCCAAGATATTTTTTGAAGGCACTTACATATATACATACAAGTTTTACTAATTAACAAATTTAATTCTAACTTAATAATAGTAATACTACTAGTTACAAAAACAATCAAAAACAGCTGTATTTATTTAGTAGTTTAATTGCAATTATTTTCAATTGCGAACTTTGAAATCAAAATAGAAATATTATCAAACAGTTGTTCGGCTAAAAATACTGCTTTAGTAAAACGAAATCATTTGTTTTGACTAGTAGTAGTAAGTGGTAAAATATCAAAGTGCAATAGATGCAGTAGAAATAGTTAAAAAATGCAACAGCTTGTGTTACTATTTGCATCTAGCTTTCTTTAGCTAAAAAAACACTAAACACCAACCAGTTGCAACAGTTCTGTATTATGCAGAAATTAGTAGTGTTGCACACCAAAAATGAAAGCCATAATATAAGGCGAGAAAGCAAACACCACTTAGGAATGTAAGTATGGTAGTGAGAGTAGTAAATAAATAAAAGGTTTTAGTAATAGTAATACTAGTAGCAGCAGCAGCTCAACTCCGGGCGAGCTTAAGCAGGTCTGAACGCCTATTACACAAGAAATAAAGGGGCTGGGTAAGATAGATGAAAATTTGCCTGCTCGTATGCATCGTCAGCGAGCAAAGCTGGTCGGTGAATTAAGACCGAAATGCATTAAGCATCGGGAAGAAGGTGCTACTCACTGCCTTTTCAGTGCATTGTCCCTGTCCGCAATGTCCGTAATGGGCAGGTGATCCAAGTCACGGTCCGCCATCATGTAAACATCAGTGCGGGACTGCTGCTGCTTACTCCCCACGCATTTGTATCCAACATGGCGTTGTTGAGGAAGTCTGGAATTGTCAAAGACAAAGACTAATAATAATACTATTAATATTAATATGTTTTTTTTTTAGTATATTATATACATCAAATACACTTTTACAATGTAATAGTTAGAGAATCGATTACGAGATGCAATAAATCGAGATGAGTTATTTTTTTAAAAAGTGGTAGGAAGAGGAAGCAACATGTAAGAAAATTGTTGAATATGAGAGAGGAAGAGGAGGGTCATGTCAGCCTACTATTGTATGGAGGGTTTCCCTAGATAATGCATTTGCAGGGGAGGAGAAAATCGGAAATCGTCTTGGTGATAGCAGTGACGTCACTTGACGTCATACGTGAATTTTTCCTCCTCCTCAGTTCCTGTCTTTTACTTCTCCTCTTACATCATATCTAAAATGGCTAAGAGCTGTGTTTGTGCAAAAAATTCATTGGGTCCATATTCGATCCCTCACCACTCTTTTGTCCACGCTATATTTATCTGTCGTTGGATAGTGAATGGTTTTAAGCAATTACGTAAATGCATACACTGGCTGTGCTCTTCCTGATGGGGTAACACGAAAAATAAAGAAGTTGATTTACTTAGGAGGATGTGTATTATTGCACTGGACATACACACTATCATTTTTTTTTTTTTTTTTTAATAACGCGACTTGGATCTTTAATATTTAGCAGTTTCTGTTTATTTAAATGACGTTGCCTGGCTTAAAGAAATTTAAGCATTTTTTTTTTTTTAAATTTGTTCAATAAATACAGGGAATTTCAACTAATTATTATTCTAAGGGAAAATTACGTTTCAATTTTTCCTTATTCTTTTTTGTGTTGAGATTTTGACCAAATAGTTTTTTACTCATTTTTCATAATTGAATTATCAAATATAGGTTTCAATTCTTTGTGTTTAGGAGGTCCTTTTTTTCTTTGAGAAAACCCCATTTGTTTGTCGTCACTAGCCAACAATAACAGAAAAGCCTTCAAGATTATTTCGTTGCTAAAAATAAATTACAGGTGCCCACAACACACGGCAAAATGAAATGTAATTACCTTTCATTTTGTTAACATAAATTCACTTTGATCGAAGCAGAAATGAAATATGATTTTTCTTCAATCTACCAGGAAAACCAGAAGACTAAGAAGAGGGAGTAAAATGACTTGAATTGAATGTCACACAGCTCAGTATCGTAACAAAAGATTTATATAACCAACCAACATAAAAACGAAAGATTGAAACACGCAATCATATTCAGCCCAAAGAGAAAACTACACGTTTCCAGGAATATTCAGATTACTTTTTTTTTTCTTAGAAAATTTAAAATATTCTAAATTAAAAAATATAAAATTTGCTAATAAAAAAATAATTCTGAATAGCACTATCATTTTTATTTTTTGAGCTGCCATGGGTATAGTGTTTTGTTTTGAAATGTAGGTCAAAGGAAAACAATTCCTGGAACTTACTGGTACTGGATGCAACGCTTATGGGAAGTGAAGCACTAACCCCACTCGGCATTAAGAAACATAACAACAGTAACCCGAGAAACTTTGGAATGTGCAAAATTCGAAACGCTCTAACAAATAAATCATCGACGAGAAAATGAGTTTAAACTTTAAATGAAACGGTTAAAAGTGCCATACGTGATATACGTTTTTAGGTGATCATGTATCTTTCTGACAAGGCAGATTTTTTCCCGCAGTAGGTTGCCATCTCTTTCTGTGGTAGACTGATTGTCAACCAAGGCAGAGAACCCAGTCTGTCCGGCTAATCAACCCGTAGATTGGGGTGGGGAGATGGATTATCCCAAGGGTATTTATGCATGTGAATCTAACAAACTCAACCAGAATTCAAACCCGGGTCTGGAAGTTCGCATTCCAAGCTGATATCCATTATTATACTAAAATGTACAAAACAACTGGCCTAAAGAAAAAAAAAATCAGTCCTCAGTTTCTTTTGATCAAAACTGCAAATTGAAAAACAATGACTAATGCTTGGTTTTCTGAGAAACATTTTAAACTACAAATCAGGAAGAATAATTCATTCATGTTTATTCTTCAGGATATTTATTGATATAGTAGATTTCACATCAGTTTCATTTTAACAATTTATCAGTAGATTTCACATCAGTTTCATTTTAACAATTTTTCGTCAGTTCATCTCTGTTTGTTAAACTGCAAGATGCAATTTCTTGATTATATAGATATTTACCAAATAATCATATCTAGTCCAATTAATATTAGAGTACCTACTCATCTTCCAATGTAAGGTGTGCATTATTCTAAAAAAATAAAGCTTTACTCACTACAAAAGATCAAAGGGGTAAAGGAGTAATAAAACTCAAGATAGGAGGTTTGTCTGTGCATTTCTTCCATTTCCATCCCTTTTACTTGCTTTTCTTTTAGTTTTTCTCTACCTATATGAAACCAAGTGTTATATATATATATGGAACCAATCTTAATGTGTGTGCTTGTATGTATATGTATGTATATATATATATATATATATATATATATATATATATATATATATATATATATATAAAGTCATCCACAGACAGACTGTTTCGCTGTTTCACAGCTCTTCAGTGTGGCTAGACATCCGGTTGCCTCTAGCTAGGATCTAAACCCGACTGAATTGGTATCAGTCGGAAAATTCTACCAATAAGCCGTTGGCGCACGGCAGGGATGAAGGTGAATTTTAGCGTATTTATTTTTAGATAAACACACAGAGTGACCGACAGTGACTCAATTATTGTACATTGAGTGCTGGTGTTAATAAAATAGTGCTCAATGTATACATCTACACTACACTACAGGCAAAAAGTTTGGGGAAACCCTGCATTTCTTTAAAAAAAAACACTAAAATGAGATATCTTTGTAATTTTTTTTTTAAGTAAAAGAAGAAATTTCAATAACTACAGTGTATTTGCTTTTATTTTTCCCTCTTTCTCCTCCTACCGCCCAAAAGTTCAAATTTGGATTCATATTTATATTTTATTTTCACCATTAAACTTAGTAGACTTATTGAGATTACCAAAATTTTCAACTAAGTCAAATGTTAATACAGGTTCTAAATGTTAACTCAGCAGCAAAAGTGATATCTATTGTTAAAGATAAACACTTGACTATTGAGAGTAAAAGAAATAGAAAGAAAACTGCTAATATGCAAAAATTCGGATTTCTCTTTGCCGGGCATTGATGGTCTAGGGGTTAGAATCTTCAACTGATACCAAATCGGTTGGGTTTCGGTCCCAGCCTGAAGCAATCGGACGTCTAGCCACATTGATGAGCTGTGATACAGTGAAACAGTCTGTCTGTGGAAGATGATATTAGCTCTCGATAAAATAATTTAATCAGTCAAGCACTGTGGAGAGTAAGGAACAAATTTGTAAACAGTCACTATTACTGCTGATAATGCAAGACTCTCCTAGTGATTGAGTTCTCTGAGTAACTGGAGTGTTTATGAAAAAATAAATAGGCAAAAATTTGCCTTTCTCTCTGCCAGGTGTTGATGGCCTAGGGGTTAGAGTCTCTGACTGATATCAAATCAGTCGGATTTCGGTCCCGACTTGAAATAATCGAATGTCTAGTCACACTGATGAACTGTGATACAGTGAAACAGTCTGTCTGTGGATGATATATATATATATATATATATATATATATATATATATATATATATAGCTAGCTACTACTCATCTCTGAGCACACCCATCTTCTAGGGCAGCAAACCAAACCCTATTACATGCCTGCTCAATCTACAGAGCATACCTGTATACCTGTATTTTATACTGCAATTAAGCAGACCTTAGTTAAAGTTTCTGCAAGAGAAAGCATAACTTAAACAAAGCCAGTACACTGAAATCCTCCCCTTGGACACAATTACTTGTGACTTTGTGTTAGCACAATCATCGGTGGCTTCCAAACAATATCTCTTTCTCTCTCTCTCTCTCTCTATATATATATATATATATATATATATATTTATATATATACATACAGAGAGAGTGAGAGAGAGATTTATACTCTTTATAACTCCACACACAAAAAAACACACCATACTCACATAATGACTAAATACAGTAGTCGATTCTGTTATGCTGACATAGAAGATTGCTATGCAACAATAATGGTTGTGAAATATCAGAACGCAAATCATAAATTCATAATACAGTTCTATGATGTCATACCACACAAAAGAACAAAATATTAACAAGAGAACTATATGCAATATATATATAAACGCTTATCACCAGTCCAAGAAAGATATTTGAATCACTGCCATGCAAAAATTCATTTTTATAATATGTGGAAATATCTAGTCTTTGCTTGAAGAAGGTCGTGAAGTTGGAAACACATGTAGCAGAATTATGGAAAATAGAGTATAATATATATTTTAAAATAAAAAATCAACATTTCAACTAAAAACAGTTGCAGTTTATCTTCTTTTTAAAATATACATTTTTCTCTCATTGGAACAACTATAACCTCTTCCCTATATATATATATATATATATATATATATATATATATATATATATTGTGTGCATAATATATTACACAGTGCACAGAAATCATGTTTGTCTAAAGCAGAGGTTCCCAGAAGAGACACTTTGATCATTAGGCATAGCTGCTGATTCATATGCATATTAATCATTTTGAGAGGTCCTATGCAAATTTAACCATATAATAGCCATATAAGATCTGTCCATTTTGTAGGAAGACCAAATATTATTTTGCCTTTATGTTATGGGGCATGTTTTGTAGGACCCCCTTGAGAGGATGCCGTATTATGGTGTATGGAGGATTGATTGGTGACAGACGAGTTTTTGTAGTGAATGGGCAAATTGTAATGAGTGAATGGGTTGTGAAGTGGATTAGCTAGGTATAAGTTAGTTAGTGACGACCAGCCTTAACCCCTCCCAATTGTGCCACAATTGTGTATAAAGA